CTCTTCGCCATACCACAATTTCGTCTTTTTCAACGAGCATACTATTCCGATTCCGTTTCAAATATCGAAAATTCATGTCACGCATTATTCTTCTAAGAACCTTATCAGAGAAATTAGGAATATCCTCATCTTCAGCTATTGCAGCTTGAATTTTCTTTATCGTTGGTATTTCATTTCTAAAGAAAAATCCATGAATTTTCCTACGTATGGAGTATTTCACGTCAACGTCGACTTCTATTTTCTTCCTCCCTCGTGTTTCCACTTTTTTCTTCTTTGGATTCACTTCTACACTATTTTTTATGGCACGATAAACAGTAGCAACGGATACTTTTGTCAACGAACTACACATATCAACAGCTTCACTTACACTTGTATTAGAATTTCGCGACCGAATTCCTTTATACACGTTTTTTACCATTATTAATTCCGCATCGCATAGGTTAGGGCGTTTATGAGCAACAGACCGTTTGCTACAACCGGCACTTTGATCCATTTTAATTATTATTCCTACGTTTTAAAACGTCCCGATTGTATTTTTTTAATTTATAAATTTACTATAGTCACGGAATATGCAAACCCTCGCGCGCGCTTATAGTTTGACGTTTCTAACTACGGCTAACTCGAATTCTACGTACGTCCGTTTACACCCACTAAAAAGAGCATTTCCCTATCTGTAATAAGTGCGATAGACAGAGATAGGAAATAAATCGCGTTCAGTGTAACTCAGTCTATGACTGTTATAGATCCTATCGATGTGCAAAGAGAGCGGTACATCATTTAACATAAGCAAATAATATTGAACCGTTATAAAAATCATTTTAAGTTTTATACACTTTACGGTAATAGTGTTTCTATATTATGTATGAATCACTCTCTATAATTTCGACCGCGGAGTATAGTTTTTAAGTTAACTACTCTTTTTTGTGTAATCACCTAAAATCATGTAATTTCTTGCGAGGATAGCTGTGGAATTTTTAGCAAAACTTCAAAACAAACAACTAAACTGTCACCAGTTATTTATTATTATTTTTAAGCACAACATTTACAGTTTTTAATGAGACATATTCTAATTTTCCACCAATGAGCAGAATACGAGATTGTGTACGAGATGACTACCATCGAATTTTATTAGAGCAGCGACCCACAAGGAACGTCTGACTGATGGGCTCTGGCTTTGTCAATGTGATAAGAAACTTTTAACAAAAAATCATGACTATGTCGATCAGTGCAGTCCACACGTAGCTAGCTCTTGGACTATAATCCAAAGGTGTGAAAAATGTTTAGAAGTTGCGAAGTTGAAGGAACAGATTTTGAACATTTATTAAAACAAATTTGACAATTAAAAACCTGTGACAGTTGTCATGCTGATTGTTACTTACCTGTCACAGCCAACCTAAAATGTGCGAAACAAATGGCAACATCATTTTAAGAAAAGGGAAATGTTTATTCGTAAATAAAATGAAAACCACTGGGTTTAAGTATAGGGAAACTTTAACAAAGTTACACTTAATTTTAGTGCAGAATGCGAATGCGTTAAAAAAATTAGGGGTTTCCCTTTAAAAATTTCGAGTTTTCCACATTTTCTGAACTTCATATTCGTTAATTCTTTTTTGACCACCCTGTATAAAAACTGGAAAATTTTCATGTCAAATTCGATATATTAGGTCTTCCTCTACAAAATGTCCAATTTGCACAAAAAAATAAACCTATGCTTCCAGGAAAACTAATTTTTGCTCACAGTCTGCTTCTGTCAATTTTTCCTTAAAAATCAAAATATCTCGGAAACGGTCAATCCTAAGTATAACTTAAAAATAGATGCTCTTTCCAAAAATGTAATAATATATAGGGGATTCCATTTAAAATAAGAAAGTTAGTATCGATTCCGGTATAACCGGAAGTACGATGACATTGAAAATATTTTAGCTTGGTAGGCCCCACGATCCGTATAACATCATCACAATGTCAAAAAAATCATTCGAGCGGTTTACCAGATATCCATCTATGGAGTTCGTGGTGGGACATCCTGTATTGACAAATAAGAAGACAGGTTAGCACGGGGTTAAAAGAACACAAGCGCCACTTAAAGAAAACACCAAAGTCAGCAATTGCTGAGCATAGGACAGATACAGAGTATTCAATAGAGATAAGTTATACCAGAATTCTAGTGATGAGAGAAAGAGAACCTTTTGTCCAAGACTCCACAGAATCTTGGAACGGAAGGAAATTGGATATTTCCATTGAAATGGGGGCTTAGAGCTAATATTTTATTTTAAATGTTTTAAGCTGATTCAAATAACTTTATTTCTCTAAAATCCTATCAAATGAAGTCATACAATTTTTTTTGACACCGAACACCTAGGCATATAAAATTATGCATCTAACCTCATAGACAAGGACCTTAACTGGTGAACAATTACTCTACGGGCTACATACCTCGACTAGCATTAAATTATACCAGCAACACCAGTTAGATATTGCTTAGGCTATTTAGAATTTAGAAACAAATTAAAGACCGGATCAGTGACTTTAAACTAGTTTTGAAGAAAATAATATGTCCACCAAAACGTCACGAATTGCCTCGTGGAAGCCAGCAGGGAAATAGTTTAATGACAAATTCATAACTTACTGATATTGATGGACTACTAATAACTCAGAAAATATTAAAGTTGTTTTCAGAGGAAAATACCTGCGCAACTAACCTCAAATATATGATCCTTAATGACAACGCCTAAAACTGAAAAAACACGGTAAAAAAACTATATCAGAGATCATCCTATTGTTATTTTGCTTTGATAAATTAAAAAAAAATCCCATTAATGTTTGATTCGCTTTCGCTTTACGTACATTTTTTCACTGATAGAAATAATGAAAACTAATAAGCTCCGGTTTCTATAAACATTGAATACAAACCTGAGCACTGAAGTGAGTGCAGTTCCCGTACAAAAATCTACTGCTCCAGAGGACGTCCCCCAGGTCGCACGTGATGCAGTGCGATTCTAACCGCCGAGGGTCATCTGTACTGGGGTCACGTACTACGTACAAATGCCTTTCTCCTGGTTTATTTTCCTCCGTTGCCAGGTAATATCTGGAACAGAAAGTTACGTAGTAAAATACATGATGATTTTGGGTACACCCTATTATAAAATTAAAATATTACTTTTCTAAAAAAGTAGTAAAAAAATTGATAACATACATTAGGTGACTGACGGTGTCCCAGGCCAGTATCTTCGTCACCTCGTGCCTCCCATGGCTCAGTACGGCGATGTGTTGCTGGGTGACAGTTACGTGTTTGATGTGTGTGTAGGTTTCCCTGCTACCTTCCTGCACTGGAGCCAACATCAGGAAGCTGTCCCCATCCGGCGAGAACATCGGGTGCTCCTGGATGTCGAGCCAGGCCTTTTCAAGAGCCCTCTCCGCGTGGGTCTGAAGAAATAACATATACAGAAACAATATGCATATATGAATAATTAGATAATTGTTCCACGTCTGCTTGCAGTTCTTTTTTATCAAATGTGCCATTATATTAACATTATACTCTAGATACTTGGCGGTTCAAGCATTTGATTGATTCTCAAATTAAAATCAAATAATACGAATTGCCAATTGCTTCATCGTCGGGTTAGATTTCTTGACGTTTCGAAAAACATCATATTTTCAGAAGAAGCTGTGAAACTTACATGATTTGAAGTCACTGTTACAGTTCATGGTTTGTGGTCACTATGACGTTTACATATTCCTATAGGCTCATTTACACGGGGATAATGAGGCAAGTACTTGATAGAGTAGAGTACCTCTACTCGTATAAACGNACCCGCTCTTGTTGTTCTTGAGCTAGCCTTTGTGGGGACCGACCCGCTATTAGAATGTCTAGGCCTGCTCTGATTTTCATTTCGGTTTCTATTGGGTCTAAGGCCGCTACATATGGAACGGTGCCTCAGGAAATGGTAATCCTCTGAAACGGTCTGGCGAAATGCTTTTGCAAAGTCATCACTGAAGATGCCGACAATGAAGAACGGCAAAACGTTTCAAGCATTGGATGCGACCACTTGCAGAGGGCACTACGGTAAGTCTTAGAACGTCACTATTGCCTAAGACCCAACCAGAATCGAGATGAACATCGGGACGGGCCTCTAGGGGTTCTAATAGCAGGTCTGCCCCCACATAGCCTAGCACGAGAATAACAAGAGCAGGTCAAAGATTCCTAGCTAAGAGTAAGGAAGTGAAAGGTAATTCTGTAACTGGTGGCAACCAAGTACATAGGCCATATTATTCCTTAGGCACCCTGTGTGTTTGCATTAACATATTGATGGTTGTAGAAATGTCCAGCTCGTTAATGATGCTTAAAACAGCCAAGTACTTACACTTCAACTAGGACAGGATAGGCCGCGTCTCTCAGTTCCGCCCTCCAAGACGGGGGAAGCAGTAGTTGTACTTGAGCCCTACTACCTTGGGGCAAAGGCACCTCGAAAGACTTTTTCTTGGGCATGGCGTACTTCTCCAACAGTGGCCACAGTTGCGGCCGCGTATCGTACAGGATTTTTACAACCTTGTGCGTGCTCACGTTGTGCATTGCTGCTAATGGAAGACCTGGTCCTTCGCAGTGAAGGACATAGAATGATGAATTCGAAGACTCGGAACGAGGACTCACCTGTTGTACAAAATAACGGCGTTTTTATGGAATCAGTTAACTTGCTAATCGAACGAAGTAAATTCATAAACAATGCGGTGGAAATTTTTTTACATCACCAGTGGCAATATCACAAAGAGAAATTTAATACAGTTGATATAACAGGGTGTCTAACGGTGACGGCCCATTAGAATTATTTCAGAGACTACTTCGATTAGAATTTTGAAAATTTGGGATACCGGGTTTTCGAGCATGCCCTTCTCAACTAAAATAATGGCGTCCACCGGTTATACCGGAAGTAGCCATCAACTTACTTATTTTAAATGGTACACCCTATATATTATTGAAATTTTGGATTCTACGTGTTATTTTAGGTGGTTTTTAAGAAGTTTCCCTATTCCTAAAATTAACCGTTTTCGAGATAGGTATTTATTTTTTTTTTCAAAAAAATCGAGAGAAACAGTGACTAGCTTCAAACCATGTGTATTTTATAGTAAGAAAGATAAAGCAACAATATTTATAGGGGGGATAGCTAGACCCCTAAGCTTCCCATCCATACTTTCAAAGTGGCCGAGTTTAGTAAACTTCAAACCTTCATAAGTCGGTTTGTTTAAATGGTACACCCTGTATGTTTTTCTATATTCTGATACACAATTTTATTCTCTTTCGAACGGTATCAAGGTTCCATATACCTACCTCTTCTATACTCCGCGGTCGAAATTATAGAGAGTGATTCATCGCTAGCTCTTGGACTAGTAAGGAGGATGAGGCGTGCGGGGATCGAAAATAAAACATAACATCACAACATTATTTTTACCAACATTTTTTTTTTAAATTTTAAGTGTTTTCTATAAAACGATGCCATCTTGGGCATCGATAACCCACCACCACCACCCGGCTTACGCCGCCGCAAAATATTGTAATGTTTACTATTAATATATTTATTTAAGTATACATACTTAATGTATTGACGTTTTTCTCTTTAGCATACTATTTCGATTCCGTTTCAAATATCGAAAATTCATGTCACGCATTATTCTTCTAAGAACTTTATCAGAGCAATTAGGAATATCCTCATCTTCAGCTATTGCAGCTTGAATTTTCTTTATCGTTGGTATTTCATATTTTCAGAAAAATCCAGGAATTTTCCTACGTATGGAGTATTTTACGTCAACGTCGACTTCTATTTTCTTCCTCCCTCGTGTTTCCACTTTTTTCTTCTTTGGATTCACTTCTACACTATTTTTTATGGCACGATAAACAGTAGCAACGGATACTTTTGTCAACGAACTACACATATCAACAGCTTCACTTACACTTGTATTAGAATTTCGCGACCGNTGACCTTTTTGATTTTTTCTTTACAAAATTGTATTTGTAAGGGTCCCCTGTACATCCAGAATTTTTTTGGATAAGTTCTGAATCACCCTGTATAGTTTTTTAAGTTTAGCGAGAATGATTTTAACGAGAATGATGAAGTTGTAGTTTTACGATCTTCTTGATTTCTAAAAAATATTAACCGAAAATCTATTAATATATTTGAGTATCAACTAAAAAATTTAAGACTAATGAGACGAGATGTTAGTTTACTAAACAGATAAGCATCAAAAGAAACAAGAGTGAATACAGAATCACATGAAAAACTTCCACAAATCAGATTGGGTATCTAGAAAAATAGAAAAAGGTAAGAAGATTGGCCATGTTAAGAAAAAAGTGACTTGAAATGGAAGCGGAACTGCCTAGTTATACGTAAATTCTCTAGTGAACTCGGCGGTTTCTAGCAAGTTCAAAATATTTTGTAAATTGTCTTTTATATCCCTATTTTTTCATAAAAAAAATTATGAGCTACATGTTCTATACAGTAAACAGTATTGCTAAAATATACAGGTATACACATATTTAAGATACCTAGGAGATAGCAAAAATTCTGTAAAAAATGGAGAATAGATATTAATCCTTTCCTCCTGTTAGCTCCAGACGGTAAGGTCCCTAAATATTTCAAATTTTCGCCCATGTATTTTTTACATTAAAATAGATGACATTAGTTTTAGTACCCAAAAAGCCGTTAATTTCTAGTGTTTCTCAAGTACGTGTAGAAAATTTAGGAAACAATGGCTAAAATTAATGTAAGTCCCCAAGGCCAAAGTTTTCGAGCTAACTCAATATCAAAAATAAAAAAAAAAAATTTATCATTTTTAATTTCTAATCTGTTCGAAACATGATAAACAAATTTGGTGTATGTTTTTAATATGTTGATAGATATCAAATAAAAAATGTTCAGCTTTCCTAAATAACCAGGCGAACTTATGGATATATCGTTTTACATAAAAAATATACCACCCTGTATAATGTTTCGAACAAAATTTATTTTCTTATGTTCCATTGCATTCTCTTTATTTTTCATCCCTACATATTTTTGCATCTGCATTTTTCAATGCTTTTGCATTTTTTAATTATGTGGATTGGACAACGTTTTCAACAACTGTGTCAACATTTCCGTCTATATCACCAGACTTAAATCGCATAGATTATTTTGTTTAGGGAGTCAAAATTTACAATGTTCCTATTGTAAATGAAGAGCATCTGCTACAAAGTATTATAGCTGATTGATACAAGAACCACCCCTGGCATATTTCAAAGTGTTCGAGATTCAAAAAGGAGATATGATGCGTTTGAAGCCGGCCATTTCCAACAATTATAAGTGTAATGTTTCATAATTCATTGTTTTAAATTGTTCATAGCTTAGTAACATCATAATACAATTAAAAATACACTTGTCAAAAAAATCATTCGTTCGCAGATGAAGACAAATTTTTTTTTTGAAAACGAACAAGACCTATGAACAAATGTTAAATTTATGAAAAATATTTCAAGTGGTTTAGAAATGAAAAATTGTTAAATTTATTTTTTCAATTATACAGTCGCACAAAAAAAGTTCTGTACCAAAATTTGAATCCGAAGCCCAAAAACTGATCTACCAGGAAATGTGGGGCTCTGAAATTGACGGCCTTCCGACCCTACCTTCCCGAATTTTAGCTGTAGAAAATGTCCCCAGATTTTCTGCATGTTCTTAGAAAACACCCTGTATAAAAACTTTACTTTCACAGACTCTGCTGAAATATAAAAAAAAAACAATTCGTTCCAAATTAAACCAGCCACCAAACCGCCGGCTCCAATCCAGATCCTAGCGCAAATAGACCACCGCGGCGATTAACACATATCGCAAACCGAATAAACTGTTTTGCAAATGTCGGACCGCACATACTGACCTCAATGCACGTCCAGTTGGGGGCCAGACAGGCCGACACGATGCTGAGGTTTTGAGCTCGGTTTATCCATACGACGGACACTTGCGTGTTCTTCTGCCCGATCCATCCTGCTGACGTCAAATAATAATCCCTGAAATGAACAGAGAGGATTATTCCGGGCGCATCGAAACTGAACGGTCCGGATTTGCGTTTTTTTATGACGGAGGAAAGAATATATCCGCAGGGACCCCATTTAAATATAAATTCGGTGGAGAGGGAATCGGCCTTTATTACTCTTTATGCTAATGGGTTTATATCTACGTATAGAGCGTTTGAATTCATTGTGGGCGCTGCCTGAAAGTTGCTGTGAAATTACTTGAAAATAATAATGACTGATTTGAATTATAAACTACACCTGGTAGTCCTTAAAAGTATACGGTCCGATAATAAAAGGGGTGATTCATCATTTAATTTTTAAGAAAAAAGTTGCTATGGACATATGTTCTAAAGCAGTGGTACTTAACCAGGTGTAGGTACTCGTATCCCTAGCGTTGCGCGAAGAGAGATTGCGACGAAAAAACATTAGGTTAATTAATAATGAAACAATTCCATTAGTTTTAAGTAAGTATTGAACAATATTATATAATTTTATATTCGTTCATTTAATAAATAAAACCTCAATTAGCTTAATCCAGAAGCCATCATATTCTCGCACTTATTATAATTTAGAGCCGTGTATTAAAAATATGTTTGCAAGCTCAAATTTTTCATTTACCATTAACAAATATACATTTCATCAAAAAAGTATCCGGAATTTGTCAATAAAATACAATATATTCGATGAATCACCAACATTTATTTTGTCTCCTTCAAAATGGGCTCCATTTGAAGCAATGCACTTTTTAAATGAACAACCCAGTCGTCAAAGCATTTTTTAAGCGCCTATTCCAGTATGGTTGTAAGAGGAAAAGTTTGACGACATTCGTTGAGTTTTTGGTCAAAAATTCGTTCTTAATTATCGCTATATGTACATTATCGTGGAGTAAAATCCAAGAATTAATATATTAATTAAAATATACAGGGCGTTAATGAACTTTTATCAAAAATTTAAAAGGGTGAAAAAGGAGCAAAAACTGAGTTAACTGATGTCACAAACTTGTATAGGAAGTTTAAAGTCATAGAGAAAAAAGTTAATTAAAAATGTGTTTAAAACTGTTTTGGAACTGCTGAAATACATGTATTTTATCGAGGCGAATCCTTACAAAACATTCTGTAACACTTTTTACGAGTTTGTAGGTTTTTTATAAAGCCGGACTGTATTTGAAAGTCAGTTTGTAATACATTGTTGTAGTGATTACTGTGCTGTTTTTCGAGAGTACATTTAATAGCCATATTTCCAAGTTTTCATTTGAAATGGTTCATTTATTTAGCAATCGCTTTATGATATGCTCATAATTTATGGCGAAGCAAACGAAAATGCCCACAGAGTTTATCAAATGTACCGTGCAAGATATCCTGAACGACGTGCCCCCGCACCGCTAACATTTGTTGCTGTATGTAGTGCAAATAATTTTGGACACCGGTGAAGTACAACCGCGTCGAGGTCGAGACGGTGGCCCAGGGTGACCACTAAGAATCTTAAATATCGAGGAGATGATTTTAGATCTCGTCGAAGATGATCCGCATCGTAGCACTAGAAATATCCCACAGCAAGTAAATATTTCGCATCCTGTTGTATGGNTGAATTCATTGTGGGCGCTGCCTGAAAGTTGCTGTGAAATTACTTGAAAATAATAATGACTGATTTGAATTATAAACTACACCTGGTAGTCCTTAAAAGTATACGGTCCGATAATAAAAGGGGTGATTCATCATTTAATTTTTAAGAAAAAAGTTGCTATATGTTCTAAAGCAGTGGTATTCAACCAGGCGTAGGTACTCGTATCCCTAGCGTTACGCGACGGAGATTGCGACGAAAAAACAATAGCCATGTATTAAAAATATGTGTGCAAACTCAAATTTTTCATTTACCATTAACAAATATACATTCTGTCAAAAAAGTATCCGGAATTTGTCAATAAAATACAATATATTCAATGAATCACCAACATTTATTTTGTCTCCTTCAAAATGGGCTCCATTTGAAGCAATACACTTTTTCAACGAACAACCCAGTCGTCAAAGCACTTTTTAAGCGCCTATTCCAGTATGGTTGTAATTATCGCTTTATGTGCCTTATCGTGGGGCAAAATCCAAGAATTAATGTATTAATTAAAATATACAGGGTGCTAATGAACTTACGTCAAAAATTTAAAGGGGTGAAAAAGGAGCAAAAACTGAGTTAACTGATGTCACAAACTTATATCGGAAGTTTAAAGTCATAGAGAAAATAGCTAATTAAAAATGTGTTTAAAACTGTTTTGGAACTGCTGAAATACATGTATTTTATCGAGCGCGAATCCTTACAAAAAATTCTGTAACACTTTTTACGAGTTTGTAGTTTTTTTTTATAAAGCCGTTGTAGTGATTACTGTGCTGTTTTTCGAGAGTACATTTAATAGCCATATTTCCAAGTTTTCATTTGAAAATGGTTAATTTATTTAGCAATCGCTTTATGATATGCTCATAATTTATGGCGAAGTAAACGAAAATGCCCATAGAGCTTGTCAAATGTACCGTGCAAGATATCCTGAACGACGTGCCCCCGCACCACTAACATTTGTTGCTGTATGTAGTGCAAAGAATTTTGGACACCGGTGATGTACAACCGCGTCGAGGTCGAGACGGTGGCCCAGGGCGACCACTAAGAATCTTAAATGTCGAGGAGATGATTTTAGATCTCGTCGAAGATGATCCGCATCGTAGCACTAGAAATATCCCACAGCAAGTAAATATTTCGCATCCTGTTGTATGGCGGACATTACGAGAAGTTCAGTTGTACCAATTTCATATTCAACGTGTTCAAGCGCTTACTCTTGAGGATTTTCCACTACGTCGAGGTTTTTGTGAACGGTTAGTTCAGGAACATGCAAGAAATCCTCAATTTACAGCGCAAATACTTGTTACAGATGAAACATGTTTCAGTCGAAATGGTCTACGTAACGTAACGTCCACAACACTCACCACTGAACTATCGAAAATCCACATGAAATACGTCGCGGTGTCTTTCAGCAACAGTTTTCAGTGGACATGTGGGCCGGTATCGTTAATGACACTTTAATAGGACATTTTGAATTACCTAGACGTTTAGACGGTGCTTCATATCTAGATTTTTTGCAAAAATCGCTTGCCAGAATCATTACAAGACGTGCCATTAAATGTTTGGCAAAATATGTGGTTACTGCATGACGATGCCCCTGCTCAGTTTTTTTGGAAAGTGCGCGACTTTCTAAACATTACTTCTCCCGATCGCTGGATAGGCCGCGGAAGTTCGTGACATCGACGAACTGCAACATCGTATTGCGTATTGGATACGTCGCGCTGAAGCTTGTGTGCAAGCAAATGGTGGGTACATCGAACATCTTCTATGAAAATCAGCAGTTCTCAAAAGGTGGATCCTTGCAATGTTGAGGTAAGTCAGATTTTAAAATTCCATTTTACTCAATACAATCCGTGTATTTACCTCATTTTGACATAACAGACATGTGACAATAATATTTGACATTAACATTAAGATCATTAACACCTTGTATTTTTTGTACATATACAGGGTGTTCCTAAATAAGTGTCGCAACGGAAAACTGTAAATTCCTCTTGAAAAAAGAAACATTTTTTTCTTCTTCAATTTTTCTCTCCGGGTTTTCGTTTTCGAGATACACGATGTCAAAATTTTAATTTTTTTTTAGCTTTTTGCCAATATCTTAGAAATCATTTGAACTACAGGCCTGAGCTTTTATACAGATTACTACTATTAATAGCTACTGTTGTTAAATTTCGTTAAAATTGTGAATTATTACTAAGTACCTATTTTTTGAATTACAAAATATTTTCGAGACGTTAGTAAAATGTTTGTTTTTGTTCATAAAAAGTCATTTTCTTGAAAACGGTTGACTTTAGAGCAATGAACCAATTAACTCTTTTTGTATAAACTTCATTGGCGCTTCAGAATTTGCCGTCAAATGTAAATTTTTCCAGTGGCGTAAAAGTTAGGGAGGAAAAACCTTTACGATACCTTAAAATCTCCACCATTGGCACATCCAATGAATTCGACAAGGCGAGAAAGAGTAGCTATTAATAGTGGTAATGTGTGTACAAAAGCTCAGCCCTGTAGTTCAAACGGTTCTTAAGATTTGGGCAAAAAACTAAAAAAAAAATTAAAGTTTTGACACCGTATATCTCGAAAACGAAAGCCCGGAGAGAAAAATGGAAGAGGAAAATAATATTTCTTATTTCAAGAGGAATTTACAGTTTTTCGTTGCGACACTTATTTAGGAATACCCTGTATATATGCTCGAAAATTTTATGACACTTTTTTGTTTATTTTGCTGTATTCTGTTATACTAATTGAACATATGTCACTTATACCGCGAACACCTTGTATAACTGATAAGTTTCTTTTTTTAATTAAAATAGTAAATAATAAATACCTGTTTACCTAATAATACAAAGTTTCATTTAATTCAAATGTTGCCTCTTAATGTACAAAATAGATAACATATAGTTCTGTGTTACATTTAACGGCAAACAAAAATTATTACGTACCTACCTATATTTAATATTTCAAATAATTTTATATTCTTACCCAAAATGTATTATTTTACAACATATCTAACTTAAAAATAATTCGTATTAAATGATTATGTTCTTCTGTATTTCAATGAATAAACAAGATAAAGTTGATATAAAAGTAAACGTCAAAATAAAAATATATTAACATTAATTAATACTCACTGTCCTATTAGAACCTTAGGCGGCAATACGGCGTGGTACTCCAAATTCGTCAAGTTTGTGATGTCTACTACCCAAAGTTGAACTGTAGGATTCGTAGTCCCAGGCTGAGAAAATAAAAGTAATTAATAAAATCAAGGTGCAAACAGGAGTTTATTATTTCATGTCACTTTCGAACGATGAATTTGTCGGCTCTCAGCAGTTAATTTTTTATAACCGGTCCGATTTAACAACTCTTTGATCGTGTGTAATAATAAAATTCGTGTAAATCTTTTAATCATAATATTTATAACGTATGCAGTGATATGAAAGAGTTTATATAACTTTATTCGATAATAAATCCGGGTTATGCTTCATCGAAACTAACTGCTAGTATTTTCATCAATTGTAAAATGTTCCACAGTTTTATATGTTTACACAGTATCTGTTTAAAAGATATCGTAGTTTTCTATTTTGTTTCATGATGTGCTTGGAATAAAATATCACGCTCTTATTTCTTCACATTTAAAAAAATCTAATTGTTATTTTGTAAATTTTTTCATAATCTTCAAATATGTTAATTAAAATTTCCTAACATAAATCTTCTTATTTAACTCATTATTTTCTATATTTTCTTCATTATTTGGGAGATTTCCGAATATTGCAATATGTAGAAATAAATTTATTATCTTTTAGAATAATAAAAAAAAATTAACATATGTCACGTGACTTTTAATTGAAGAGAAAATTGACAGATATGGCAATAAATTTCAAAAAGTTTCTCTGATTAGATAAGTCATTAGGCAAAAGTATGTAAAAAACCAAATTTTAGGCTAAGTATCCATATTTTTAAAATTTTTTAACTTTAAAATTGTTTAATATAAACTAAAAAAAGTGACTGCATTAAATAAGAACATTATTAGGTAGTTGTACTATATTTCGGAGTTTTTACCCGTTTTCATCATTATTGTTAGTGCTAGGTACTTTGAAATAATCAATTTCTTTTTTTTAATAACTTAATAACTTTAATAACGTTATTACCGTAAAACCAGTAATAAGTTTTCAAATAATACCACACAGCACCACCATCTTGTTAATCATTCATCTAATTTTTTATTCTCATCTTAATGCAGGTCAAGTTTCGTGTGGTTATTTTCATGACGCAAACGCAGAGGTGTCTTGCCTGCACTCGTTGACAGTGCATTGATTTACGTTGTTTTATTTCAAAATGCCTTATTTAAATCTACAACTAGTAGCTATGGTATTTAAATATGACTTGTCGTTTGTATGCAAATCTTTACATTTAAAACAAAAACCAGTTCCCGAATAGTAAAAAACGTTGTTCGAAGACGCAGAACACCAGTACAGTGAATCAGACGTTAAAAATCGTGGGAAAGAAGGTCCGCAACTTGTTTTAAACAGGGAGGAAGACATTGTACGTCTTACGACAAAAACCCGAGCCGCAGTAACCGCTATAATGCATGTGAAATGGGTGTTTCAAATACTACTACGTGGCGTGTATTACAGGAGCAGTTACTGCACCCTTATCATGTACAACATCTTGGAATTCATGATCATTTTCAGCTGCGTGTAGAATTTTGTTGCTTGTTTGGGTAGATAGTGACACAAGAACCAAATTATACAATTACAGTACTCTTAATCGTGGGAGTAATTTCGAGTAAATGTTTAATAATCCCTAATTTCGATTTATGGTTTATTTATATTATTTTTAAAATAATTCCAGTGCCAGATGTGTTTCAACACTTTCTAATTGAGAGCCTCTAAAAATGTTTTAAAGTAAATATTCCGACTGATAAAAAATTTTGCGCGTCAGCGTCCTTGAAATTCACTGTAGAACAGGACCGGTTTTAAAAGTTTGTTTCTTAGATTTGACAATTTTTTTATTTTGAAAGTAGATACTAGTAGTAGTATTTCATCTGGATATCTTAAAAAACATCGAAGTTACTAATAAAACCTGGTTTTAATTAAAATTTTGATTTCCTGTATATTAAAAAAAATACTTAAACTAAAAACACCTAACGATACACTGAATAAAGAACAAAACAGGATATACATGCTGTTGCAAATTCGCTTCTCACTACAGGGATCTCGGAAACGGTAAGAGGTACGAATTAGCTTAAATGGGGGATGGGGGCAAAGTTGCGTAATCAAGGGACCAACATTATGCCTCTAAAAAATCAAGGCTAACATGATTAGTTTCCGAAATATTTGAAAAAAACTAAAATTTTGGAAATCCGTTTTTATTTCATTTCAGCCATGTTTGAGGTGATATTGAAAAAAGAAGAACACTTTCTCATGGCCACTTTTTGCCCTCTATCGAATGGCATAATCAATTTTTATTTGTAACGTTTCGTCTCTCCAGGACCATCATCAACTTCATTTTTTTAAATACGACCCTTTAATTTTATTACATTTTTTGCTAGCCTTCATGACTCCCAATACTGTAATGCCTTGAAATCCATTTAGTTATTTAAACTATTACCACACCACGCGTTACAATAAAGCACTTATTATTATTAACTATTACCATCACTTGGTCATACATAACTCAATAAGTTGTTGCGTCTAAATTAAAACATAATTACAATTTTAATTGTATTATGACAAGTTAATTATTAAAAATGCATATGAACAACCAAAACGTCAACTGAATATTATTCTTTAAAAAATTTCGGTAAATGTTCAAAAATATTTTCGTTTTGGCAAAGGTTGAAAATGAAGATCAGCGTAATATTATCGGAATTTATTATATCTGTAACCCCAACTGCGAAGGAGCATGTCAGATGTATTCGTATGAATATCCTGAAAAAAATAGATCGGAATTTGTTTGAATTTTGAGCACTCGAGAAGCCTAGAAATGACTATGCACATGGGAATAAAACTAATAATGATATTATTTTAATGCGTGGTGGTAATAGTTTAAATAACTANCAAATATTGCAAAAAAACAATTGCAGAATTTCTTTTAGTGTTACTGTACTGTACTCTACTGTACTGTACTGTACTGTAGCCTATTATTTTGATGTAGACAGGCTGCTACAAATTTGCTTCTCACTACAGGGATCTCGAAAACAGTAAGAAACACGAAGTATTTGGTTCGGGCTGAGACAGTACAATATGGGGGTCATGAAGACTTGCAAAAATGTAATATTTTCAGGGTCATATTTAAAAATATGAAGTTGATGATGGTCCTGAAGAGTCGAAACGTTACATATAAAAATTGATTATGCCATTCGATAGAGGGCAAAAAGTTCCCATGAGAAAGAGTTCTTCTTTTTTCAATGTCACCTCAAACAAGGCTGAAATTAAACAAAAACGGATTACCAAAATTTCGGTTTTTTTCAAATATTTCGAAAACTAATCATGTTAGTCATGATTTCTTAGAGGCATAATGTTGGTCCCCTGATTACGCAATTTTGCCCCCATTTAAGCTAGTTCGTATCTCTTACCGTTTCCAATATCCCTGTAGTGAGAAGCGAATTTGTAACAGTCTGTATATTGAACTACAAAACGATTATATCGATATGATGATGATTGCCTATATTTTCCTTATCCAACGCATTGTTAGGTAATTTTATTATTTATAGATAATTAACATTTAAACTATCTATCTGTATTGGTTGATTGACAATGTGTCGGAAACATTGAAACTAGTCGATTCAAATTGACGAATTTGATATTTCATGAAAACTTAGGTAAAATATGCACGCAATGCGTACGGTTATCTTAACTGACTCTATTAGAGAAAAGAAAGACTTGGTAAAGATCACACTGTATACAATATATCTATTTTAGTTCGATAAGAAATATTGTACCCATAACAGTAAAGATTCCGATCAAGTTCGATATTCTTACCGTAGGATACCTTACAGATCTAGACCCAGGGAAAGATGGGGTCCGATGGACGGTTTTACCCGCCCCCAACACCGACCCCGTTTGAAACCAAGGAAAATTTAAGATCCCCACTTCGCTGTCGTTGAATGTGGCATACAAAAGATGTGTTCCATCATGGGAACTCCATAGGGCCTCTGGACTTTGGAGCACGTCCTCTGAAAAACATAAAGTTCATTAATCATCGCATATTTTTCGATTGACGGTTGATTGCCCGCGGTAAAATTTTGCCATCGGTTTTGTAAGTGCTGGTTAATAGCTTTTCAGATCGCAACGAAATATATCACTGATAATGATATTACTTTCTGTTTACTACACCTCTTCCAGACATATTTCAGAAACGGTCAATTTAATTTCAGGAAGGTCATTCCTCCTCAGTGGATTTAATTTCAGAGGCGCTATGTATAGGTATTACTGTTTAATCGATGTGGAACATTAAAAAATTATGGTAAGTTGAAAGCAGTGTTTCAATGTGTTTGGATAACTATAGACTTGTATCGTGTAGGCAAATCTATGACTACAGCTGTATATTCACTATATGAGAAAAATTATAAACTTTTTGGAAGACGGCGAATGTCCTGTTGGGATCTTTTGCGATCTCAGCAGGGCAATTGATTGTGTTAATCATGCAACTTTAATATCGAAATTACATAAAATAACTACGGCATTCGAGCACCCGCATTAAATTGAATCATTACTTTAATTGAAAATAGGAAGCAATTTGTAAATATAAACTATAATAACCAGAATGGTTGTGGTAAATATAATTCGGAATGCGCTTTGATAACGTTGTGTGTACCACAGGGATCTGTTTTAGGCCCTGTATTATATTTACTATATATAAATGATATAAGGCAAATCGAACTTAAGAAGCTGGTTTGCCCAGAATTCATTATATTTTAATATCGAACTCAAGCACTTTGATTTTGCACTATTAAAAAAAATTGTGAAACATTAAATTTAAGTATTAATAACTCCTCTATCTACTGATACTGTGACGGTAACATTTTTAGGTCTAAATTTCGACGCAAACCTTAACTCGAAATGTAACTGTAAAAATATAACATCCACATTGTCATCAATAACTTATTTATTTGGAAATATTAGAACAGTCCTCAGTACGTTCAACTCCTCTGTTTATATTATGCCCAAGTTGAATCTCAATTGAGGTATGGTGTTTGTTTCTGGGTCAATTCAACTATTTCGTCCAATGTTTTTAATGCACAGAAACGTGTTTTAAGATGTATGTTTGGTGTTTCCACTACGTATTCTTATTGTAATATATTTAAACAGTACAGAATTCTCACTTTGACAGGTCTTTATATTTTTGAAATATATACCTATGTATAGGGTGGCCCACTTAACTTACCCACCCCACTTATTTCGGTTAGTTTAGCAGTTATAAAATTTTTGCTGAAATAAGAATTGTACTGTTTTTTATGAAGATTGTCTTTGGAATAAAAAAAAAAAAAAAATTCAAATTTAAATGTCGATGTGACAGATACAGCTTATAATTATTTTAATGGTAATTATTACATTTTTAGATGTAAAATTTTATTCTGAACGAAAGTATATAACATATGTGGCACTTCGGGAAACGAAAACAGAAAAATATAAACAATAGTTCGAACAGATGACTAAATTATAGAAAGTGTAATGAATATCAACAGAACATAATTAATATTTTTTCTTATTGATGCGATCACATTTTCTAATATGTCGGGATTATAATATAATATACCTAATAATTTAAAGTGTGTTTCACTAAAAAAAATAAGTCGTATATGTCACATCGACATTTAAATTTGAATTATTTTTTTGTTGCTACAAACAGAAACTTCATCGAAATTTACATTGAATGAAGAAATTTATTTGCACCAGTCCAAGACTTATTCCAATATGTTTTGTAGCCCTGTACATGAATCTGACACTGGTTAAGTTTCTTGGCTCCTACTGTACTATAAGTATTTTGAAAAAAAACTGGAAATTACTTAAACCCCAGTGCAATTATACTAACACTGTATGTATACTGCTACAGGCAATTAATCCGCTACGTTTCCGTGGTGTAGTGGTTATCACATCCGCCTAACACGCGGAAGGTCCCCGGTTCGATCCCGGGCAGAAACACTAGTTTTTTTTGTTTATTTTTCATTAATCGTATCGTAAAGGCACATTATGATAAAAATATAGATATTTTGTATTGTAAATGATATATTTGTACTAATTTTATCGTGTTAGCTAACTTTCTGATGCACACTTTTTTTTACAATAAATAAAATAAATAAATTTCACTCTATTTTTTACATATATTTACTTTTTGGTCCTTTATTTTTTGGGTATCTTAAGAATTTTTGTTTTAATTTAATCATTTAAAATTCGCGCTAAATTTGGATGAGCCACGCATGCACGTCCTACAAAAGAAAGAAATTTGAACCCATTAACAAAGTAAAGCACGTTGGAGAGCTGCCGTTACAAAAGGATAAGCCATTCCAACCTCTTCATTCTATCTAAAAATTTTTTGTCACCTAACCAGCTAATTACGAAACAAAAAATTCAATTAGTTTTGAATAATATATGAAAGTCATAATATCCGTCTTTACCGTAATTAATGATGACAAGTCATAATTTCCGAGATGGGACAAAAAATTTCGGGACGAAAAGGAAACTTTTATGAATGGAGTTAGCGACGTATTAGGACAAAAGATAATTTAAAAGCACAGAGAAGTTCCCGGTGTTTTTTGACCAGCGTGGAAGTCTCATTAAAATGCGTAATGAGTTTTTATACTTTTAAAAAGAGTCGGGAATTGGGGTGTGGTACAACGTCACAATTTCATGGTTATTTTCTTTCAGAATATTCAGAATACCTTAGTTGCAATTATTGTAGATATGGAAGACACGCTCAACTCATCTAATAAGTATGCATGTTTAATATCCATTACAAGACGACTTAGCAAGAAATAGGTCTATTTAAATAGTTTGTAATTAATTAGAAAATAATATTCACACAATGATACATCGTTTTCTAGACTGTTATGGAGATCTTGCAACTTCTGTATTTTATTTATTTCTCCCATGACTTTTTTAAATGTTTTAAATTGGCGTTATTTGAAGACAGAACAGTATCCTAGATTATTTTTATAACCTTTGCTATGCTTGGATATTAAAAAAGTATTGTATTAATTCTTGCAAATGTCAATCTGCAATTATGGTGATACTTTTTATAAAACTTTTGAGCTCACTTCTTTCGTTCGAATTTAAATTATGCATACCAGAAAATTTCCCATAATTTTTTTATTTTTTATATTAATATACACGCTGTTACAAATTCGCTTCTCACTACAGGGATCTCGAAAACGGTAAGAGATACAATCTAGCTTAAATGGACAAAGTTGCGCGTAATCAGGGGACCAACATTATGCCTCTAGAAATCAAGGCTAACATGATTAGTTTTCGAAATATTTGAAAAAAAACAAAATTTTGGAAATCCGTTTTTGTTTCATTTCAGCCTTGTTTGAGGTGATATTGAAAAAAGAGGAACACTTTTTCATGGTCACTTTTTGCCTTCTATCGAATGGCATAATCAATTTTTATATCTAACGTTTCCTCTCATCTCCAGGACCATCATCAACTTCATTTTTTTAAATACGACCCTGGAAATTTTATTACATTTTTTGCAAACCTTCATGACCCCCAATACTGTACTGCCTCAGCCCGAACCAGATTCAGACGTTTTGTCTCGAAAAAATCATCTTTAGTGTATTCGTTTCAAATTTGGGGGTGGGTCGATTTGGGCGGTTTTGCCCCATTTTGTTTTTGCGATAAAAAATGTGAAAGAATTCCTGTAATATCTACTACCAAAAATGAGTCGATCTGACCCGAAACGGACCACCCACTCACCACCCAGTTTCCCTGTAACACCCCCGCAAATACTGGAAATACCGTCACTAGATAACAGTTTTGGGGAGATTCGGCGCTGTAAAACTGGATAACTCGCCTCGATCACCGTATCCTTGGGTTTTTGGGGTTGCTGATCACGAATCCGTGGTCCATTAGCCTCCACCAGATGTATTTCAAGGTCATTTGAAGGTCAAACTGAGAAAACGCTGATAAAAAAA